GATTGTGAGGCCTCCCCAGCCACGTGGAACTCTGAGTCCATTAAACCTCTTTCCTTTACAAATGACCCAGTCTCAAGTACGTCTTTATTAGTATCCTGAGAACAGACCAATACAGAAGGATTTGAAGATAAGTGGGTTGATTTGGAAAGTGAGCCTAGGAAACACTGGTGTGACAACAGGGAAATGAGACAGAGTAGGGGAAGAAGCCAACCCAGGTCATGATGATGAGCAAGTTGCTACTATGGGCAAGTGGAGCTTAATTCCACTGGGGACATCTGGGGAACAGCATAGAACCTCTTCAACCTAAGGTATGGAAGGCAGGGCAACAGTCCTCAGCAGCTGGCTGAGGGAGACAAGCCTGAGTGTTGGTTTCTCTGTACTTCCAGCCTGTCCTAGGTTTATGGACACAAGAGCCTAGGTTTATGGCATCCAGAGAAAGCCCCACGCATTATTGCACATACCTGCAGTAGGAATGGTGAGTACCCAGAGGACATGGGCAAGGTAACAACTCCATCTGCCATCGCCCCCAATGTAAACAGCATAATTATTGCTGGAGACTGGAGAGCAGTGGAATAGAAAATGGGAGCTTTAATTCAAAGCCATTAGACAAAAGCTAGTAGTCCCAATGAAGACAACGGCATGGGAATATTGGAAAGGTATAAATTCACAGGAAGAGACAATTCTCAAAAGAAGATATATGAATGGCCAACAAACATATGGAAAAAAATGTTCAACATCACTCTGATCAGGGAAACACAAATCAAAATCACAATGTGATACCACCTTACTCCTGCAAGCATGGCCATAATCAAAAAAATTTTTTTAAATAGATATTGGTGTGGATGTGGTGAAAAGGGAACAATTCTACATGGCTGATGGGAATGCAAATGAGTACGACCCCCTTGGAAGATAGTGTGGAGATTCCTTAAAGAACTGGAAGTAGCATTACCATTTGACCCAGCAATCCCGAAACTGGGTATCTAGCCTGAGAGGGAAAAAAATAATTATATGAAAAAGATACTTCCACATGCATGTTTATAGCAGCACGATTCAGAATTGCAAAAATATGAAACCAGCTCAAATGCCTATCAATCAACAAGTGGATAAAGAAACTGTGATACACACACACACACACACACACACACACACACAATGAAATACTACTCAGCCCCATAAAAAGGAATGAATTAATGGCATTCACAGCAACCTGGATTGAGCTGGAGATTATTATTCCAAGTGAATTTAACTCAGGAATGGAAAGCCAAACATTGTATGTTCTCACAAGTAGGAGCTAAGCTATGAGGATGCAAAGGCATAAGAAGGATACAATGGACTTTGGGGACTTGGGGGGAATAGGTGGGAGTGGGTGAGGGATAAAAAAGACTACAAATTGGGTTGAGTGTGTACTGCTCAGATAATGGATGCACCAAAATCTCACAAATCACGATCCAAGAACTTACTCATGTAACCAAATGCCACCTGTTCCCCTAAGCCCTATGGAAATAAAAAATTTTAAAAATAAAAAATAAATTTATGTTATATAAAACACCTTGACTCTAGGCCTGGGTGTTAGATAGTGGAGTACAGGTTTTAGTCAAAGAGCTGGAGACTTTATAGAAGAGGGGTGTCTAAGGCCCTCCCTACCATTTTAGTAACCCCCATCATCTTTTTTGCTGGCCAGGGGCCCACCTTGTAGGACAGTCCAGTCCAGGGTAATTCCGGCTCACAGGTCAAGGAATACCCATCCTTGGTCCCAAGGTTAACTGACTGCACCCACAGTGGATTTTATAATAACCTCTCCAACCTCGATTTGTTGAGCTTAGATTCTTAAGCCTCTAAGCTTCTGATGACTCTTGTCAGAGAAATGAATGTAATTCCCATCAATAGAGAAATGGCTCATTCAATAAGGATCTATCCATTCAATCAAACATTATGGAATCACTAAAAACAATGGCTGTTTAAGAGTACATATACAAAAGATACGTGTGCAACAGGATAATAAGAGCAAACATAAATTATACCTGTTCACTGATGATCTCACCACAGTAGTACAAAAGTTCAACAAGAGCAGGGATCTTTTTTTGTTCAACGCTAGGTCCTCAGCACCTAGGACTGTGCCAGGCCCAAAAACATCCAGCACCCACCAAGATAAAATTCACAATGGCTGTCATCCCATAAAAGGTACTTTAAAAATAGAGGCCAAGCTATGTACCATGGCTCACACCTGTAATCCCAGCTCTTTGGGAGGCTGAGGTGGGTGAATCATGAGGTCAGGAGATCGAGACCATCCTGGCCAACATGATGAAACCCCATCTCTACTAAAAATACAAAAATTAGCTGGGCATGGTGGTGCATGCCTGTAATCCCAGCTACTTAGGAGGCTGAGGCAGGAGAATCACTTGAACCCAGGAGGCGGGGTTGTAGAGAGCCAAGATCATGCCACTGCACTCCAGCCTGGTGACAGAGCTAGACTCCATCTAAAAAAAAAAAAAAAAAAAAAAAACAGACAAGTGGGGCCTGGAGCAGTGACTGATGCCTGTCATCGTGGCACTTCGGGAGGTGGAGACAAGTGGATTACTTGAGGGTCAGGAGTTTGAGAGCAACATAACCAACATGGCAAAACCCCATCTCTACTACAAACACAAAAATTAGCCAGTCATGATGGCACACACCTGTAGTCACATCTCCTTGGAGGCTGAGGCACAAGAATCGCTTGAACCCAGAAGGCAGAGGTTGCAGTGAGCTGAGACTGCACCACTGCACTCCACCCTGGGTAAGAGAATGAGACTCTACCTCAAAATAATAATAATAGAGGCCAGGCATAGTGGCTCATGCCTGTAATCCCAGCATTTTTGAGAGACTGAAGCAGGAGGATTGCTTGAGATCAAGAGTTTGAGACTAGCCTGGGCAACAAAGCAAAATCTCTCAAAAAAAGCCAAGCATGGTGATGTGCACCTGTAGTCCCAGCCACTCAGGAGGCTGAGGCAGGAGGATCACAAGAGTCCAGGAGTTTGAGGGTGCAGTGAGCTATGATTGTGCCACCGGACTCCAGCCTGGGCAACAGAGCAAGATCCTGTCTAAAAATAAAATTACCTTAAAAATAATATGTAAATAAATAACAATTTTACAATAAAATAAAAGTGACTCAGCCTCCCCCGGATGGGGTAAGTGCTGGCCTCCATCACTCCCAAATGTCCTGGGTGCCCCAGCAGCTGCTAGGAGGAAGTGCAAAGTGGAGCAAACTTTGACCAGTAAGAGGCAAAGCAGCAGGAGCTGGCAGATGAATCACTCCAGAAGCATTCCATGCCCATGTTTCTGGAAAACTGCAGCTCCACTAGGTAGTATGCACTTCTTTGGGTTTGCTCTTCCTCCTCCTCTCTTTCCCTTATCCCTGCTTCCTTGAGATTGCACGACCCAATGAAGTGTTCACATATTTGTATCAGGCACTATTGCTAGGCTAAGACAACCTCCATCCCCAACATCTGTGACACATGGGTTATCTCCCGAAGGATGCCACTCTAGTTAATCCCAAAATAGCATGGCTTAAAGCAGCAACTGTTTTTTATTACAGATCATGATTTTGAGGGTCAGAAATTCAAGGAGGACCCGGATGGGCAGTACTTCGGCTCACGTGGTATCATCTAGGGTCATTCCATGGTATTCAAAGGGCTTCTCGGCCACTCTGAAGGGTCTAATGCAGTTTTAGTGATGTGCCAGGCACTTTGGTGGGTGTATTAGTCCATTTTCATGCTGTTGATAATGACATACCTGAGACTGGGTCATTTATACCGGAAAGAGGTTTAACAGACTCACAGTTCCACATGGCTGGGGAGGACTCACAATCATGGTGGAAGGCAAGAAGGAGCAAGTCACATCTTACATAGATGACAGCAAGGAAAAGAGAGCTTGTGCTGGGAAGTTTCCTGTTACAAAACCATCAGACCTCAGGAGACTTATTCACTGCCACGAGAAGAGCATGGGAAAGACCAGCTCCCATGATTCAATTACCTCCCACTGGGCCCTTCCCACAACACATGGGAATTCAAGATGAGATTTGCATGGGCACACAACCAAACCATATCAGTGGGGCAGGCTGGAAGCTGAGCTCAGAGTGACATCTCTCCCTTTCCATGTCATCTCAGGGTCTCTCCAGGTGACCCTCCAGCAGGGCCCTCAGATTTCCTACACAGTGGCTCAGGGATTTAAAACCTAAAGTTTCAAGAGGTGTAAGGCAGAAACTGCACAATCCCTTAAATTCTAGGACCAGAACATCATAGTGTCACTTCAATCTCAATCTATTGGTCAAAGCAGTCACAGGCCAGCCGAGGCTCGGGAAAAGGGAAATAGACCCCATTTCTGAATGCATGGTGTATCAAACAGTTTGCACTCATCTCTGACCTGTCACAGATACACAAGAAACTGGAAGGAGGGGTGGGCAAAAGACCGAAGCCTTAGAGTAGGAGGGGCCCTTCCATCCTCCGGCCAACATTTTCCATATGCATGTCTTACTTTTAAAGTGGAGAGAAACCAAGTCAGTAAGCTGAACCTTCATCTTCTATGGCAGAGAGTCAATAGAAAATATCTTAAATTGATAAATCAAGAAACAGCTACATAAGAGCTCATTTGGAGTTACAGAGATAAACACGCAAAGACCTAAAAATGGAAACAACATTTCAAGCAGTTGCCTCCGGAAAATAAGAATGAAGGAGGGGAGAGAAGAGAGAAGGGGCCAGAAACCGCTTCTTTCATTAGCAGCAATTCTGTTCTTTAACTTTGCACGATGTACTGATATTACTTTGATTTTTTTTAATTCAAAAGGGGAAAAAAATAAGAAAAAAATGATGATGGTTATTTTTAAAACTACGTAATTAAACATGGAAAAATCTCATTTTGCTAAGTGGAAAAAAAAGTAGCAGGATACAAATATATTAATAGTATGGTCACAAGTATGTTTAATAAAGAAAAAATATATATATAAAACGCTAAAGAAATTTACCTACCAAGTCATAGTGGGTGGGTTTCTTTACCGTTCTAGGTTTCCCACATTTTCAGCAATGTGATTCTCACACTTTCCTAATGAAAAGAAATGCATTCATTACATAAAATAAATGAACTGGGCCAGGGGTGGTGGCTCATGCCTGTAATCCCAGCACTTTGAGAGGCCAAGGCAGGTGGATTACCTGAGCTCAGGAGTTTGAAACCAGCCTGGGCAACATGGCGAAATCTCATCTTTACCAAAAATACAAAAAATTAGCCAGGTGTGGTGGCAGGTGCCTGTAGTTCCAGCTATTCAGGAAGCTGAGGCAGGAGAATCGCTTGAACCGGGGAGAAAAGGGCTGCAGTGAGCTGAGATTGTACCGCTGCACTCCAGCCTGGGTGACAGAGTGAATTCCATCTCAAAACAAAACAAAAATAAAAATAATAAAATAAATGAATTGAGAATCAATTAAATAAAATGCCAGAAGGGTCTCTGAAGAACTCTCCACAATAGAAGTGTGTTTTAAGTTCCTGAGCCTTCATCCCATGCCTATGGACAGGGGACTCTCCACCAGTTCTGGAACATTCCAGTCCACCAAGCCCATGGATTTATTAGGAAACCTTCCCAGAAAAAAATGTAGTCTGTCTCATTTCAAAATGAATTAATTCAACTCAACAAGAACTTTTGTAAGCCTCCAATGTATCCAGTTCTGAATCTGGAATGCTCATTCAGTCACAAAATAAACATTTATTGAGTGCCTACTATGTGCCAGACAAATGCTACTTGCTGGGGTGACAATGACAAAGACAAGCAAAAGATTCATCTCTTTGGAGACATATGTTAGTGGGAGAGGCAGACAAGTGACCAGGCAAGTGTAATACACCCTAACATTTTGATTGGGGAACAGAAAAGGGACTGGGGAAGGAGGCAATCTGGAGGGCTATCTGGAAAAGGCCAAACATAGGCCAAGCGCCATGGCTCATGTCTGTAATCCCAGCACTTTGGGAGGCCGGCAGGAGCTTTCTCCTTCCAAAGGCCCCATGTGAAACTACCAAGCTCAAACTCTTGAGCCCGTGAGTTCAAGGCCAGCCTGGGTAATATGGTGAAACCTCATCTCTACAAAAAGTATAAAAATTAGCAGGCATGTTAGCATGCATGTGTAGTCCCAGCTACTAGGGAGGCCGAGGTGAGAGGATCATTTGAGCCTGGGAGGTTGAGGCTGAAGTGAGTCACAATCATATCACTGACTTCAGCCTGGGTGCCAGGGTGAGATCTTGTCTCAAAAAAAAAAAAAAAGAAATGGCCCAGTATGAGCTCAGACTCAAAGAATGAGCCAGAGCAGATCAGGTTGAAGGAGAAAAACTGTCTGCAGCACAGAGAATAGAATATATAAAGACTCAGAAACAAGAGAGAAGATGGATAAATTCAAGGAACTGAGAGTGCTAAAAAAAAAAAAAAAAGAATATGTCATGATCAGAAGAGACAGTCCCAAAACACTACTCACTTGGGGGGCTCTGGGACTGAACTCCCTAAATTTGAATCTCAGCCCCATCGTGTGAGCTCAAAGTGCTTCAGCTACCTGTGCCTCTGTTTCTACATCTGTAAAACAGGGTAGATGAACTTATCTCAGAGGAGTTACAAAAATTAAATGAGAGAATGAATGAGCATTGTTTATGTGTTTTTTGCTATGGTTTCACAACTGCTAGTAATAACAACAGCAATGATAATAGCTTATGCTTTCGTTGAGCCCTTGCTTTGTACCTGGCCTGTGAGAGGCACATTATCAGTAACATAAATGCAGGTATTTCCCCGAACCCTTGCATCAACGCTCAGAGATGGGTTTTTTTTTTTTATATATATTTTTTTGAGACGGAGTTTCGCTCTTGTTACCCAGGCTGGAGTGCAATGGCGCAATCTCGGCTCACCGCAACCTCCGCCTCCTGGGTTCAGGCAATTCTCCTGCCTCAGCCTCCCGAGTAGCTGGGATTACAGGCACGCACCACCGTGCCCAGCTAATTTTTTGTATTTTTAGTAGAGACGGAGTTTCACCATGTTGACCAGGATGGTCCCGATCTGCTGACCTCGTGATCCACCCGCCTCGGCCTCCCAAAGTGCTGGGATTATAGGCTTGAGCCACCGCGCCCGGCCTCAGAGATGGGTTTTATCATCATCCCCATTTTACAGATGAGGAAAACTGAGGCAGAGCAGGTGCACAATGTTGCAGCTATTCCTGGTGCTTCACCGAGATCCTCACTGCCAGTAAACCCTTCATCATTCAGTCTTTGCTGGTCTGTGCCTAATGGCCTATACCAATACTTTTTCCAGAGAATTCTCCTCGGCTAGCAAAAGCCATTTCAGCCAGGGAGTTATGCCGTCACAGCTAGAGCGACCAATGACGAAGCAATACGAGGCGGGAGGAGTCCTATGGAAGTCCGGTCCTCTTGCTTCAAGGCAGAATACACTCCAGAAACCCATTCTTTTTGGCTCCATCCCCTCCCTCATCCTATTTCCCTCACTTCCCTTCTGAGAACCCCCACCTGGAATAAACTGCACCTACCCAAATCCCATTCTCAGGCTTCCAAGGAACCCAACCTGTCACACAACTTTCAGGGATTCGGACCAGGCTTTCTCCTTCCAAAGGGCCCCATGTGAAACCACCAAGCCGGACCAGGCTCATCTCAAAGTCAGCGTCATGGGTTCAAAGAACAGTGGCTGACGCCAACCCCCGCGGCGCGGGTCCACTGCTGGGGAAACGAGGCGAACCAGGATTCACTCAGGCTACAGGTGTGAATCCAAGAAGAAGATGGCAGGAGGTGTATTCATCTTTTCTCATGCTGCTAATAAAGACGTGCCTGAGGCTGAGTAATTTATAAAGGAAAGAGATTTAATGGACTCACAGCTCCACGCGACTGAGGAGGCCTGACAAGCACCGTGGAAGGCCAAGGAAGAGCAAAGCCACATCCTACATAGCGGCCGGAAAGAGCGCGTGCGCAGGGGAACTCCCATTTATAAAACCATCAGATCTCGTGAGACTTACTCACTACCACGAGAACAGTATGGGGAACAGCCTTCATGATTTAATTCTCTCCACCTGGCCCTGCCCTTGACACATGGCGATTATTACAACTTAAGGTGAGATTTGGGTGGGGGCACAGCCAATCCACATGTTCGGAGGGGAGGAGGGGGCACAGCATTAGGACGCAACCTGCGGCACTCTAATGGGGGTGGGGGAGGTTGCTGAAATACACTAGTAAGGGCGGTTTTCAAAGAGCATCACCAAGGAGACAGGCTTTCCAGCCTTGGACTTGGGGAGAAAGAGGGAGAGTGAAAAAAACAAGAGCTTCAGACAGGTCCAAACTCAACCCTGCAAGTTGCCTGACCTCTGTTTCTTTATCTGTAACGTGGAGATCACAATGTTCACCTTGCAGAGTAGATTAAGCAGCTGGCATGTGTAAAATGCCCAGAACTGTGCCTGGCATGTGCTAGGTATTTGGCTTGTGTTTATTTCCTTCTCTCCCTCATTCAAGGCCACATAGTCCATGACTGGCAGACCTAGAAGCCTTCTCATTTATCCAAAATCAAACAACTTCTACACAATAGAAACAGCCCCCTGCCCCCTCCTGCCCCCGCCGGCTACCTTAATAGTTTATTTCCCAGTTATTCAATGCAAGAGACTTAGCCCAGTGAAAGTTATTCAAAATCGACCTTGAGATCAGGAACAAATTGGCTACAGCAGTCAGCACTTGGCAAATGCAATCTAAATGCCCCAGGCGGCATGAGAGCCTTCCACGTTGACAGGAAGAGTCAGTGTGCATCTTGGAAAATTCTGAGGAAAAAAAAATTAAAGGTCACCGCATTTGTAGGCAGAATGGGTTTTCTTGAGACCGTTACAAACAGACTGCCTGAATTGCAAAGATTCCAGGCTTGACAGCTCCTGGAGGGCTCCAGATGGAAAGAACGCCACCCTCATCTCACATACATCCAAGCTGCTGTCTGTGGATGTCCAAAGGTTCTCCCACCGCCCATGCTGTTGCTAAAATTCCACAATCAGCCTGTGGTGCCCCAGTGAACCACTTTGCTGGGATAGGAGCACCAACTTAGGGCCAGCCCTGTGTTCCAAGGGGCTGACCAGGCACTCCAGCCGAGGAGCTGCGAGTCTCAGATGGGTCCAATCATTTCTGTAGGTAGGGGGTCTTGAGCCAAAGCAGGAAAAATCAAACCCCAACACAAGTGTAGAGAGTCGGATCATAATTCAGACGTAGACAGGGTCCAAGAAACATGGGTTAGGGACCAGAAGACAATAGGCTAGGATAACTGATCATTAGAATATTTGTGCTACCTTTGTTGTAAGAGTAGTATTGATGTTCATCACAACAGCTAATATATACTGAGTGTCTTCTGGAGCCAGGCTCTGTGCTAAACTTTTGCATGTATCCTCTCACTTAATCGTCACAGTGCTCTACAAAGTGGGTACTGGTTTCATGCCCATTTCACAGAGAAGATAACTGAGGCTCAGAAAGACATCTGCAAGGTCAGCCAGGTAATCAAGAAAGCCAGATTTCAAGGGCTTGTCCACATCACTCTATGACGTGTGGAGAACTCAAGTGTGTGTTGTCTTAACTCAAATAAATAGTAAATGTTAGGCTGGATGTGGTGGCTCACGTCCATAAGCCCAACAGTCTGGGAGGCCAAGACGGGCAGATTACCTGAGGCCATGAGTTTGAGAGCAGTCTGACCAACATGGTGAAACCCTGTCTCTACTAAAAATACAAAAAATTAGCCAGGTGTGGTGGCGAGCATCTGTAATCCCAGGTACTTGGGAAGCTGAAACGGGAGAATGGCTTAAATGCCAGAAGATGGAGGTAGTAGTAAGCCAATATCACACCATTGCACTCCAGCCTGGGCAACAAGAGCGAAACTCCATTTTAAAAAAATAGACATGGCCGGATGCGGTGGCTCACACCTCTAATCTCAGCACTTTTGGAGGCTGAGGTGGTCGGATCACGAGGTAAGAAGATCAAGACCATGCTAACTAACATGGTAAAACCCCATCCCTACTAAAGAGACAGAAAGTTAGTCAGGTGTGGTGGCACGTACCTGTAGTCTCAGCTACTCGGGAGGCTGAGGCAGGAGAATTGCTTGAACCTGGGAGGCAGAGGTTGCAGTGGGCTGAGATCATACCACTGCATCCAGCCTGGGCAATGGAGTGAGACTCCTTCTCAATAAATAAATAAATAAATAAATAAAGTAAGTACGTAAGTAAGTTAATTCTCAGTGTGAGCTAATCATTTTAAAGTACCTCACATTTTTGTTTTCCTTTACTTAATATTTTTTGAATTGACAAAAAAATTGTAATTATTGTGTACAACTTGATGTTTGAAATATGTATACGTTGTGGACTGGTGAAATCAGGCCAATTAACGTGTGTTATCACATATACTCATCATTTTTTTGTGGCGGGACACTATAAATTTACTCTCGCAGCAATTTGCAGGAATACAAAACATTTTTATTAATTATAGTCACCATTTTTTGAACAAGGAAACGAATGCCCAGTAAAAGTACAAAGTAGAAGAGCTCTTCACTGAAGCTGGGGTCATGGATGAAGAAGATAAATACATACATCCATATACAATGAAAATATGATGTTAGTGTGCGTTCTTGTTCAGCAAATATTTACTTCCCCTCATTCGCTTCACCGTGGGAGAAACAGACTCCTCTGCCCCATTAGTGCTGGGTTTGTTTTGGCCAATGGAACGTGAGCAGAATTGACAGTGTACCAGTTCCCAGCTTAGGCCTTAAAAGGCATCGAGTATTTCTGCTCACTCCTCTCTGGAAGCTGCCAACTTTCCCCAGGCACCACTGCTCCTCCGATCTGGACCTCAGAAATAAATGTAAGAATCAGACTTGAACTCAACCCACAGCCTAAAGCAGACTCTCTCCAGCCAAACCACAGACCTGTGAGCCAGAAATAAGTGCTTATTTTTATAACCCATTAAGGTGGTGTTTCTTGTTACACAGCTATAGGTGACTGATACACTTACACATGAATATGTGCACATACTATACGTGTGCATATTATATAGGATACTTATGTGTGGCTGTGTTACATAAAGATGGACGTGTATAAATACTAAAAATATCTGCATATTTGGGATACATATTTATACATGTCTATCTATTTGGGATATAGTAAATGGTGTAGGATTTGGAGACTGCTAAATTTGCATTGCTCTGACACTTATGGGCTGTGCGTTTTGGGGGAAATTACTTGACCTTCCTGAGTACATTTTTCTCCTTTGTAATGTGGAGATAAAGATGGTGCTTATCTCATAGGATTACTGTGAGAGTTGAGTGAAATAATACACATAATGGGCTTAGCAGGGAGCCTAACACATACTCGCTCACACTCATTCATTCAATAAATGTTTATTGAATAACACATTTGCCAGGCCCTCTTCTTGGTGTTTAGGACACAGTTACTAGCCGTGGGGAAAAAGCACAAATGAAAAGGATAAGGAGAGCCAGTAGCCCTGGAGGAGGAGAGAGGGAGGCATAGCATGTGCCTGCGCCTGGCACACAGTAAATGCTCAATTATTGGAAGCCATTTTTATCCTCAAAGTGATTAACATGTGAGAACCAGGGCGTCAGCTGGAGATTTAAAAAATAATAATCAGTGTCTCTGCTCTGCATCAGACCCCTGAAACTTGCCAAACCCCAGCAATAGATCAAGGACCTTCAGTAGGTGAACATAGCCGCAGGAATTGCCATAGATGACACGGTCCCTGCAACTCCAGCCAGACACCAACACCAGCTGCCACTGGGAGATGTGAGCTTGGCTTCTCCATGAAAGAGGCAGGTTCCCGGGGCCTCAGTTGTGCCTCAAACCCACGGATCACGTCAAACACACGCTGCTGTGGGGAGCCGGCCAGGTGCGCAGAAGCTGGAGGGTGACCCTGGGTGGAGGTGTCGGGGAGTCAACAGGGACTCGGGGATGGAGAAACATCTATGCCTTTGCAAACACTCTTAATGTGCTTCCCTGAGGCCACCTCCTGTTTTTTTGGCCCTAATTGGCACACTTTCCTGTCTCCTCAGAAACAGCCACGGGAGACAACATTCCATCGCAGTTAAAAGTGTGGTCTCTGGGTTTGCATCCAGACTATTCCCCACCAGCTGCATCCTTGGGTGAGACACTTAACCCCAGGAGCTTCCCCTCCTGTGGTTGTGATGATTAAATGAGATAACCTGATAACCCCTTAGATGGAAAACACTCAGCACTTAGCACAGTGCCTGGTGCTTATCATCGTGGCTTTTATTACGGACTCATTTTACAAACGAGGACTCCGAGGCCCAGACAGGTTAAACCATCTGCTCAAAGTCAGAAGGGCACTCTAACCTCACCATCAAACCTTGAGATTTTCTTTTTCCTCCATCACACCATCCCCAACTGATCTACTCCTCAAGTGAATTTCAGAAATTCTCCAAAGATGAATTTTCATCTACGTAAAGCCGTGCTGACTTAACAGGTACTTTCACAACAGGAGGAAACTTGACCACAGCTTTGATCCCTGTGGAAGATAAAGTCATTGTAGGTGAACTTGAGACTGGGATTCGGCCCTTGTGTCAATTGCGATTTAGCACATAGTGAAGCAGCGTCATTGTCTGCGGGTAATAGCCAAGGTTCGTTGCCTCATACCAAAAAAATAAAGGACACAGACGCACAGGAGGAGTGAGTTTAAAAGCAGAGGTCTAATAGGCAAAGGAAAGAGAAAGGAGAACAGCTATCTAGCAAGAGAGAGGAGCATTCAGTGGGACTTCCAGCCTAAGGCAAAGTGCACCGGATGTATAGACAGGCTTGAGGAGGCGGTGCCCGATTTACATAGGGTCCACAGATTGGTTAGACCAGGTGCCTGATTTACATAGGGTCCACAGATTGGTTGGACCAGGTGTGACATTTACATAGTGCATAGGGAAGCTGGCGCCCCACCCTAGTCTTACTATGCAAATGGAGTCTTTGTCTGCCTGGCACCACGTTGCCTGCTCCTTACTGTACACATGGCTGGCAAAGAGAAGGGAAGATGGAGCCGCCATGCTAGCCCCAGATGGCCTTTTCCTATTGGCACAGCTGCCGGCATATACCCGTTCAAGATTCCAGCTTGCTTGTCTATGTCTGCAGCTTGATTTTACAGGATGCTCTGCTAGAAAAGAAAAATGACTTGGGGTGCTG